ACGTATTAACAGTGCATTGGAGACTGCATTTACACCGAATTGTAATAGTTTCTTTTGGGTTATATTTTTATACACTAAGGAACGAAGAAAAGGAGTGACTAGTACTTTTTCTTTTTTATTTTTTGATAATTATTTTCTGATACAAGTCAATTGGTAACACTGCATAGTATAAAACAAAGTTGCTATCCGCCGTCTGTCTGTCCCTATGTATGCTTAGATCTTTGAAACTACGCAACGAATTTTGATGCGGCTTTTTATAATAGATAGAGTGATTCGGTTTATATGTATAATACATGCATATTGCACCCGTCCGAAGCCGGGCCGGATCGCTAGTTTCGTATAAAAGGCAAATTAGTTACATTTAAAATGAGAGCGTTTTGTTGTAAAAAGAATAATATTTTTTTAAGTTATAGAAGATTCGATAAAATGAAAAAGAAAACGGTAATGGTTCCGTTTTTATACTCGCAATAGATATTATCTTCCCTTTTCTTCTTCTTTGTTTCTTCTTTATAGGACCGGGTCTGCATAGGAACTCCATCTCTAAAGTGTTTATGTAAAACAATATAAAGTAGTACAAAAAAATTTGACTTGCTATTTTATTCCTTCTGATCAAAGCTAAATGATGTTTAGTAAAATCTAGACTTACATTTCCTGGCAGACACGTATAATGTTTAATTAATGAAAGATTATGCTATTAAATTGAACAAATAAAATCTATCTCTAATTTCAAAGGTTATTTTAAAAACGCTCAGCTATAAAGCAAAAACAAGCTTTTAATATTTCTGTGGGAAAAGGCATGTGGAATCCAGGAATGCGAAAAAATATAGACTCACGGCGATTATTAGGTTTTCATTTTTTGACTCGGTATCCCATTACCAAACTGATGTAAAAAAAATCAGCAATATTTGATCATAGACTTACGTCGAAATATTCAAACTCTACTCAATTATAAGTCGCGCTTAACTATAATTTATTTTAAAATGACAGAGATGGCAGCCTTTCAGTGTTCGGGCAATAATAGTGTAGAGGTAGATATTACACTACGGTGTAAACGCAGCGGTTGCATCGCTGCAACTGGCGGGGTGTGCTAATACCACTGCGAGTAACAGGCGCGCTGCAGTGAAAGCTTGCCCACTGACTCGCAAGGTAAATAACTTTTATGTAATATTTTAGTGCAAAGCGAAAATGAAATTGTTTTATTTAGAAAGTATTTCTTTCTTGGCTGTTAATCGCGAAGTAATTTCATAGACGATAAGATTTCCAGTGATATTATTTAGTGTTATTGTCATTTTTATGTTGTGTTCATTTTTTAAACAGCTTTACTTGATTGCGTGTTAATAGTGTTGTTCCTTTGTCAGCGATCGGCGTTTGTTTTCATAGTGTTATTTGATGTGAATGTGAATTTGGTTTGTCTCGTGTCTAGGGTGTGATTTGTGTGATAACATCAGATGATCCCTAATCTGCCTATTACGTAGATTTTGCTTATTAGAAACTGGGTGTGAAACTGTTCTTTGTGGACCAAGGGACTTATAATAGATTTATATTCACAATCAATTCTCTGTTTTCTGTTGGAAAACTTGCTATGAATCTACAAAGTTAAATTCAAAGTTGTGATACTTCACTTGTGTAGGTATTAATGAACACATTACTAACAGCCTAAGGTTTGAATCTATGTTTGTGTACAAGGATAACTGTAACCAATTTTAGGTAAATATAAATAGGTATTACTATGATTTTGCCTACGTCTACGTTACGTTTCTCGAGTCTTTCTCGCCTGAATGATTATACAATGAAAACGCAGACGTAGTCTAGGTTCAGTCAAGCAATTTAAGTTAATAATTTTCGAAATTCTCTAATGTTCGCTCAATTATCTATTACAGTTTATGATTAGGCGCTGAACCACTGTTTAACAATAGCTGTGCTTCGAATTTGCATAAAGCATATGCTACTTACACATACCCATATGTAATCATACTATTGAGACCTGCCTTTGTGTGTTCAGGGTACATAGTGCCTTGTGGTGATCTGCCGACTAGAATACATTTACTCATCTCACGAGTGTCGCAAGAGTCCACTATGGGAGTGCACATAGCCATAGCTATACATAGTGTACGGGAGACCTATGCTTCAGCACGAATGGGCCAGCTCGATTGAAGTCACACAACAACCTGACAGAAAAAGATTGCCTTGTGTTTTATCATATTCGTGAGAATGGCGGAGGCTCAATTCTTCCTCTTATCAATCTTCCAAATCCTCAAACTGCTAACCTCCAAAACGCTGACAACTTACTGTTAAGTCCTCTGGTATTGCAGGTGGCCATGGGTAGCATCCATTGCTTACCATTAGGTGATCAGTCCGCTCGTTTGTCCGGCCTATATTATAAAAAAGAAGGTTTAATAGTTTAATCTGTAATCTCCAACTTCCAAGCATGCACACTTTTACATAGTATTAAAATGTAAATACATTTTTTGTCTCAAACTATGACCAGGGATGGTATGTAATATACAAATATCTTTAAGTCTACGACCGTGGTAGTGAGGTCCCTACAAGAATTTCAATAACTTGTGTCGTACATAATTATGTGAGAACAAATTCTATCGTGACCTTTGCACTGCGTTATGTGATACTTAGATAAGACCTGGGTCTCTTGGGAAACTCTAGTGTTTATTATCGTTTATAGGTACTTTATTTGTTTTATTGTAATCTACGGATCATTTATTGTAGTGTACGGGGTCTTTTCAAAAATTCTCAGTAGTAGCACGGAGCCTCAAATTGTGCTCGGCATATGGGAATAGCTTAACCCTTTTTACATGGGACTCATAACATAATAGTGAAAAGTTTGTGTTATATCGTACAGTGGCAGTAAGTGCCGTAATATGCACCTCTGCCTACCTCTTCGGGGATAAATTCGTGATGTTATGAATGTATTGTATTGTAGTTTTTACACTTCTTTCTTCATTTCTTCTCAGAGTAGTCAGTTAGGAAATGTCGGCCTCATCGTTCGCTTGATAAAATTGTTGTGTAAAAGTGCTGCCTTATAGCCTATTTGCAGAAATAAATTCACTGGTTTCCCTTGTTTCACTCACTCACCAGTTTCAGTATTCAAAATTACTAAGCCTCTTTCGTGGGTTGAGTAGGCAGAAAATGTGAGTTCAACTTATGGATGGGCAAAGTGTTTTTTATTTCAATTTTCAGAATCATGCATGCGTGCATAATACAGGCTCCTTATTATACGCGAGGACACGAGTATGCGTGCCATGTAAACTGTGTGGCGACTGGAGACTAGGTTACTATTACCCATCTTTCTTCCCTTAAGGAGTTGAAAGCCACGAAAAACAGAGAAGACACAGCTTTAGAGCAACTAAGGAACTACACAAGATGTATTTACACATTTGACTGCTTTAAATTTTTTGTCATAATTATGAAAATAACTTAAAATTGTTTCTGCTTACCATCATTCGAAAACGTCGTGAAACTTCTATTAATATAAAACATACAACCCCGCCATCTTTTGATGAGTTACGTACATACATTGTAGAAGACCAAAAGCTTCAACGCCATCTAGCGGGTATAAATTGCAACAAGCTAAATTAGAATGCTGAGAGGTTACTCGGGAAATGCTTAACGAGGGTCAAAGTTCATAGAAAGCCTGGCAGGTGGCACTACGGCATAAAACCTTTCAACTTTCGACGTATAGCGTGTCGCTTTTAGCATTACTCATGTTGCGCCATCTACCAGATAATATTAAAAACTTGTTGAACGAGAGCCTTACAGTCGCGAAAGCCTTGCGGGGTTAAAGTTCAAAGTAAACTGAACAGATGGCTCTGTACAATAAATGAGTTTAAAAATCTAGTATGTATTTCAGTCATACCATAACTAATCGATCAATAAACTGTATGAATTTTTAAATAAGAATCATTTTTAGTATAAGTATGTAAAATTGTTACTAGAATACATAATAATACCTACGTATTTATTGCGAGAAATGTGACGATTGTAGTGAGAAGGGAAACTGGTTTGGGCAAGAGGTAAAAGAATAGCAATCAATAGTCCCACATGCACCTATATAGCTATGAGTAGATGGTTTATACCCGACCGTGAATATAATTTTTCTACTGTCCCATTGTGAGAACGAGCCATTTTTCTGTCAGCTGATGTTTACAAGTAGATCTAAGTAGTAAGTTTGCTATGCGAATATTTATGTTTTTTAATAATTTTGTGAGAACTTCACGACTTGTGCATTGTTACGGGATCAAGGTATTTTCTGTTGTCATAATGATTAGTCATAGGTACTTGCTTGATGGAGATGATGTTACTTAGACTTATAACAATTATTGAATTAACATTATGTCGATGTCTAATAGTTTAGTTGGGCTATTGCGTTTTATAATCATTTTAAAAAGAAATTATTTATCAAGTAACTACTGTCAAAATTTACTACACAATACCCACCAAAGAGTCTAAGTTTTAATACAATGGGAATCAGCTTAACTCCTATTAAATTGGACTAATAATAGTTACATTGAATCTGTGCAATGTGCACCTCTCATTAGATACTTACATAGGCACTCCTTCGTGGATTAGAACATAATATCTAGCATGATCAGATTAATACTCACAAGTAGGTAAAGGAAATGCTTTGATCCCATTACTGTTATCCGCTCCCTTTCTTCCAAACATTGCAATATTACTTTCTTGTCACGCAAGCACACGTAACGTGGACGTAAGAAGTTACGCACTACTTGGTAGGCACGCATCGTTGGAAGAATTATGTAGTCCACTGCAGTTTAACGAAATTGTTGACTTTATTTTGTGTCTGATTAACTAAAGCAAAACTATAGTTATTTTAACTTATTATTATACATGCTAAGCGAAGTTCTTGTCCAGTATGTAGTCGTAATGTAAGGATCCATTGAACATAGTCATTATAATACCCGTTCAGTTTTTACTATGACCATTTTCTAATAATATTTTTAATTACTCATTTTCTTCTGTTTTAGATGTGGTTGGCCACGTTAACAATTTTTGTAGCCGTCTGCTTGTACATCTACTATGACACTCATAAACCTAAGAAATTCCCACCGGGCCCGAAGTGGGTTCCTATCCTTGGTTGTGCCAGCGAAGTGTATAAACTTCGAGAAAAAACTGGCTATTTATACAAAGCTGTGAGAGAACTCTCTCTGTCCTATTCTAAAGATGGCTCCCTGCTTGGTCTAAGAATCGGAAAAGATAGAATCGTAATGGTAAACAGTCTAGAAGCTAACAAAGAAATGCTCTTCAATGAAGACATTGACGGAAGACCCAAAGGCATCTTCTATCAAACAAGAACTTGGGGAGAGAGAAGAGGAGTACTCCTCACTGATGGAGAGCTGTGGAAAGAACAGAGAAGATTCCTGTTACGGCATTTGAAGGAGTTTGGATTCGGTAGACGAGGAATGGAGGAAATCGCAAGATCGGAAGCGCGGCATATGGTCAACGATGTCATGACAGTTGTTGGTGACAATGACGGGAAGACAGCCATTATACAGATGCACAATTTCTTTAATGTGTACATTTTAAACACGCTGTGGACGATGATGGCAGGCATCAGGTACAAACCTACCGATCCTCAGATGAAGGTCCTCCAAAGTCTTTTATTTGACTTATTCGCCGCAGTTGACATGGTCGGTACTCTCTTCAGCCACTTTCCTATCCTGAGCATTTTGACTCCTACTTTATCAGGGTATAAAGACTTCGTACGAACGCACAAAAGAATATGGAAATTTCTTCGAGAGGAGTTAGCTAGACATAAGGACCGGTTTGATTCTACACAAGAAGATAGGGATTTCATGGATGTGTACATAAGAGTTCTCAAAGAGAAAGGAGAGGTGGAGTCATATTCGGAAGGTCAGCTCGTGGCCATGTGTATGGACATGTTCATGGCTGGCACGGAAACTACTAGTAAGAGTATGAGCTTCTGCTTCAGTTACTTGGTAAGGGAGCAAGAGGTGCAGAAGAAGGCTCAGAAAGAGATTGACAGAGTAGTCGGTAAAGACAGGACACCCAGTTTGGATGACCGTCCCAAGTGAGTATCTGTTTAGTTGTTAGTGTTTAGTTTAACTAATTCTACTATAATAAATGACCCTAAACATTAGCTTTAATATTTTATTCTACTATAATATTCTATTATACTATAATATTCTACTATAATAAATGACCCTAAACATTAATTACAATAACCCTATTGTTGCCTAATTTTTATTTGAATGTCCGTCTGGTAGATTGTTTTAAATCATTAGACACGTATTTTTTATTTTCTTACAGAAACGAATACTTTCGACGATATATTGATTTGAAATGGCCCGTGACGTCACTTCTATGTACATTTTATACGTAGAAGTGATGTTTTAGCCCCCTCTCCTAAACTTTGATTCGTTTTATCTAAGTATTATTGGATTATACGACAAAATAAAAAAATACGTGTCTAATATTTTTTCATTACCTCACTGACGGACTAATTAGATTTTTAATTTTCATACCCTGTCATCATCCCTATTGCGAAAGTTTGTTAGGGTATGTGTGTGTGTTATTCTTTCACACAAAAACGGCTGCAGGAATAGGGATGAAACCTCGAACAGGGATAGATTATGGTCTGAAATAATACATAGCCATTTTACATCTGGTAGAAGCTAGTTACTACATACAGCTACTAAAAGACAGTACTTGTCTTAATCAAACTTTTTGTCGTATTTCCAGTATGCCGTACAACGAGGCAATAGTGCACGAATGTGTACGACATTTCATGGGGCGGACATTTGGAGTACCTCATCGTGCCCTAAGAGACACCACTCTAGCTGGATACTTTATTCCAGAGGTAAGAAGAAAATTATCTATCAAGTTGACCGTTGAGTACAAGTTTAATGCAGTGGCTTGACTTTATCTATTTTTTTTGTAGTTTCTAGATTAGTCTTATAAAATAAGTCACGTCAAACCCTGTCACAACTTCACACACTATGAAAACTGAAAGTGAAATTCTATAACTTTTAACGGCAGATCACAAAAACTCCTAACGACTATTTCTTCTATGTTTTCTTCTTTTTTAAAAGAAACTTTGCCCAACCCTGGGATTTTTTCCTGTGTCGTGGGTGCGTTTATAAGCATACCTGTTCACATACACATGACACCCAATGGTACTTTATGGCTCGAGCATTGAAACTCTTACAAAACTGATTGTCTATGACACTAGTTGCTTACAATCCAAGTCATCGTTCACCTCTATCTCATAAAATAAAGACGTATATAAGTTTGTAAACTTAAGTAATTGGGTCATAGTCACAACTAATCACTCATTGACTTAATTAAAAAACATATAACAACATATTGTTTTCAAAAACAATCATCATTTCACGTTTTATGGGAACTAACAAAGGTTATGCAACTGAGTTTTAATATCAATATTAAATAGTTTAGGTAAGCACCTATGTGTATAAGGTAGGTCAAAGTAGTTGAAAGAAGTATTGACTGACTGATTGAACGAGTGGTCGGTCGCTAATGTTATTATCCTACATGACCTATTTGCTGGTAACTTCTCTGATATTGATGGACATCCCTATCTTATGTACTATTCTACTTCCTACCCTTACATCACCATAATCCACTTTACTGTTCCAGGACACGATGGTGCTGAGCAACTTCACAAACATCCTGATGGACGAGGAGATGTACCCAGAGCCTTATGCCTTCAAGCCAGAACGATTTCTTGCTGAAGATAAGATCTGTCTACCAGACCATTACTTTCCCTTTGGTCTGGCCAAACACAGGTGCATGGGAGACGTATTAGCAAAATGCAATATTTTCGTGTTTACCACCACCATGCTGCAAAAGTTTTCTTTCCTACCAGTTCCTGGAGAACCTCTACCTTCACTAGATCATGTTGATGGGGCTACTCCATCCGCAGCTCCCTTTAAAGCTCTGGTGGTACCAAGGAAGCAGTAGAAGTCTCCATAATCCAAGTTAGGACCAACTCCTCGTCAGAAATGAGAGACGAACGAGCGAATAGAAAAGTCAGCGTATGACATTGATAACTTTCGTAACAATTATGTTAGGCTAATCATGCCCAAACAGATTTTTCTATTTGCTGGTTCAATTACATGCCATTTGTTATGGGAGCATAATAACATTATTGTTAATGACATGAGTACAGTATTTTTACATGTTACATACGATTATTGTTGTAATAGAAATAGGTAAAGATGTTTTAGCGAATATTTATAATATTTTACGTTATTATGTGATTGATTTGAAAGCGCCTATACAATACATATACGTTTATTAGAAACCGTCTATCAAAGGTGTAAGGCTTAAATTTGTATGAAGCTATTGATACAACCTGTGTTCTTTCAATAAATATGTACTAGGAAAATTATTGTATTACGCAGTTATTACTGCGTTTTGTGAATTTATTCTTAAATTATTATGTAATGACTGCACGGTTGGCCTAGTGGTCTGCTGTGCAAGTGCAACGTACCGCGGAGTAGATTCATGCCATTTTCTAAGTAAAATGGCCGTTATTAGCCCAGAGTCTGAAATTCGGCGGTGTTTCACACCCGTCCATCCGAAAGCGTGTAAAATCTTTCTTCCTGCGGCTGATCTCTCCTCGGTCGTGTCAGTCTGCCGTTCGAGTATGAGACAGAGCGCACCTGTAATTGCGCATACACCTATGCACAATAATATCTTCTGTGTAGAAGGCCAATTGAATTGCCACTATGATCGAAAAAATGAAAAAAATTATTATTATGTATTACTAGTAGTGAGAAGTCAGTGGGACCCATTTTTGTATGTGCCAATTGTTTGCTTGTCCTCCTCTGTGCTTGTGTATATTAGATATGTATTATATATTTTGAATTTTGAGAGAGGAAGAGATTACGAGAGATTATGACTGATCATAATTATAATGACAGAAATATTGTTGAGAATTTATAAAATGTTTTTGTAAAATATTCTTCATTACTACCCGTGTACTTGTGGCCTTTGTACTCTATTAACTTACCCCTTAATGTTAATCCTTGTCTGCACCTAATTGTCAATGCTACTTTTATAATTATAGTGACTGGTTTAACAGTCTTTATCTGATCTTAATTACCTGTAAGTTCAAGTTCAATTTATTACGATTTTTAGTCCCATAACCTAATGGTTAATAGAAGGCAATAATAATCTATTACCTTGTAGCTTCTGCCCGCGACTCGTCAGTACGTGTTTTTGGGATAATTCCGTTCCCATGGGATTTTGGGGAAATCTTTGGATAAAATGTTTCCTATGTGACTTATGTTCGTCTCCTAGTTATCACTAATTTTCATAAAGAGATTCAGTTTTTTTTAAGTGATAAATAGTCTAACCAACTCGATTTTCTCCTGTATTTCGCTGTTTGTACTTAAACGTACTTCTAAACTGGCAATATTTTTATGTCTTTCTGCAACATGTGATTGCATTAATGGTATTAAGACGACTGTCGTCTTTATGTTTCAAATGGAGCTAGTGTAATATAAGGTCCTATGTCCATGAGGTCCGCAGTTAAAATGTAAATATTCAATGATTTCACAGTATCAAATTCTAATGCCCCAAGACTGGATCCTGGCATATCGAAAATACCAAACATGTTTAGATAAAATGTTGCCTAGCATATTTTAATGGAATTAACCCATCTCAATACCGCTGCAACTCTCGTAAAATCAGGATCTACAGTAGATGCAACCATGAAAGCATAGGACAGCTTATTGTAGAAAAATGTTACCTTGATACAAGCACACTAACATATGTAATTATGATAATGTATAAATAAATAAATGTCAATCTTATGTCACTATAGTTTTTTGATTTACCTAGAATATCCGTCTATTCACTGATTAGTTAAAGGAATGTGAAGTATATAAGTTTCGTATGACGCTTAGTCAAGTAACTATTTGACAAGAAACTAGACTAGTTTCGAGCCAAGCTAGAGACTCATATTCATGAGCAGAAATACTCGAGTCTGCGGTGCGCCCAGTGCGCCCTCTGCCGTGATACACGCGCACTTTCGTCTATCTGTGGTGGCGACGTTGGTGAGCGCCTGTCACTGTTGACACGTTAGACTTGCTGACGACATCTAAAGGTTACTAAAGTATGTTTTATAACATATTTGTATTAAAATAATAACATATTTTTGTTACTATAACTAATTTTGTAAAGTTTGGTCCATTTTGTATATGTGATATATTTTTCTGAAAACTTTATTGTATAGTATAAAACAATATGAAATGAATATACTTAGTATTATATTTTCTTAATTGTACACTAAGGCTTAGGACACACCGCGCGATTTTCTCCCACGCCCGCCGCGGTGGCCGAATGGAGACAGAATTTTCAAAACTCTCATCAGAACGCAGATTTCTGCGATTCCGCAACCACCGCGGTTGCGATCATGCCCCGCAAAATTGGCGGTTGGGTATCGCACGACGCGTGTGGTTAAGCAATCAGTTGAGTTTCATATCAGCCATCCCATTGCGATTGCCCGGCAACCGATCGCAGAGCTGCGGCATCGCGGCGGCGCCCACTGGTGCAGTAGGAGTCGCAAAGAATCGCAACCGCCGCGGGCGTAATCTGTATACTACAAAGGTTGCGTGCCCGCAATCGCTGTGGGCGCGGAAGAAAATCACGCCGTGAGTCCTCAGCCTAAACGATGCAGTATTAAAAATATATTACTTTGAGTTTGACTGAAAAAGGTGAAGATAGAATTTCTACTACTATCTTTAGTTTTTACATAGCGTAAGAAGATCATATGATCTTCTTCTAATTGAAGAAATCTTCTTGTAACTGGATAAATAACTTTTCGAAATTGAAATTCCAATTGATAATCTGTCATTAAAGAACTTTTAATAATTAAGCTATGCGAATCCAAAATTATACCTTCTATGCTCAATTGTGAATTGTCATCAGAAAACGTTAAACTTTTATACCTCTAATTATCTAATTGATTAAATGTCTAAGTACGTTATAGGTATAATAAATTGGAACTTATAATACCTAATGATAATTGCTATCAACAATTGAGTTTTTCTAAAGTATTATCCATGAATTATTATAATAATTGTGTCCATTAGAATGTCCATTTTTATTAATAATTGTAAATGGAGACTTAATAAATTAAACATCTGTGTCACAACTTTTTTAATTCATTTAACCCCAACTTAGGAACCTATCGATTTATTTAAAAAAATGTAAGGTATGATTAATTCAGTCGCCTCATTATTATTTATTACCTTCAGCATATTCCTTCGTAAAACGCTGACAACGCACTTCTGACGCCTTCGAGTGTTCTTGGCGGTGCTAATAGCATAGTGAAACAAGTGAGTGAGTTCGATACCTGGGCTGGCCAAAGTATTACTGAGTTTTGAAGAAAAGTGTCAGTAGGTGTATGACGTCTGGAATTGCGCCCGATATATTGCAATAAGTTCACCCCCTTTTACAAGGGACTCATAACATAAATAGTGAAAAGTGGGTGTTACATTGTACAGTAGCAATAGGGGGTGAGTCTATTGTAAACAATGTACATCTTAAATACAAAATAAATAAAAAAACTATGTACTTCTGAATTTATTTTAGTCGCATTTACTTGTTGCCTGCCTATTTTATTTGGCTAGGTGATAGGTGATAATCGACTCGGTGCGACTGTTGAAGTTGAGGCGTTTATTTCGTATCCTTTTCGATTTTGAAACACAATATGTAAAATTTGTAATCTCTTGTTGCAAGTGACTAGTTGCAAATTGTGGAAAGAGACTGTACTACCTAATTGTCAATATGTTAGTCAAATCAAACTTACCTCGTCTTATCATTATGTTCCACACCTCCGCCACCAATAGACAGTAGACCAGCATATCGATGAAAACCATGGTACACCAACAATTGCATAATAATTTTACTTCTACGTTGGCCTACTCTAAGATTATCATGAATTTCATATTGACATTACACTTATAGCTGGATCATTACAAACGTGTTAACTGTCACTTCAAACAAATATAGACAACTCGCATAAGTGTGAGCGAGACATCTAAAAAAATGACTCATGACAGTTCCTACATTTGTTATGACCCAACTATAGCAATAATTGAGGATCACGTATAATTAATTGTCTGTGCAAGAATCGAACCTGCAACACGTTGCACAATAGGTGGCACAATGAAGAACAAAGCTTATTGGGACTCTTGGAACCATAATCTGCTCCTCACACATAGCTATGTTTTAGGTGGGTATCGAACCCGTGCCGTGTTGCTTGACGAGCACAGTTAACAGTACAGTCTAAATGAATATTAATACTCTTTTATTTTTGCCCCATCCCTACAGCTCCTGCAAGCCAAGACCGAAACATTGAACTCCGGTTTAGGCTGTGTTCATATTTCTTGTATGACAATTTGAGAGTTAGGTATCTAAAGCAATAAAACCATTTAATTTTATAATTCATTGAAATTTATTAGAGAAAAATCTTATATTTAAGCAGTTCACAAAATTTATGCTTAACACTAATCGTTTACATTTTGCTTAACTTATGGCAATACATTATTTCTCGTATTTATCCTTAACATTCCAACTTCATTCGATTTCATATCGTAATTGAACTATAACGTTCTCAATTCACACTTGTTCTTACAATAAATCTCTAACCACTTTATGTTCTAATGATGAAATTTTATATATCTACACAATTTAGTTTTGATTAATCGATGTTATTTTTTACAATTATTTGCCAATCAATTACACTAACAATCTGGAAGACCAATAGTTTAACAATTTTTTCACTCATAGCCAACTCTATATACACACATACTATTCCAAATAGCCCACGCATTAGTGATAAAAATAAAATTTGTTTACTGTTTTGTGAGATACATAGATGATTACAGACGAAGATCTTACTCTATAGGCTAGTATTATAACATCAGCCAATAAAATTGTATGTACCTTAAAAACTATATTAATAATACGTTTATAAATGTGTACTAAAGTTAAAGACTGACATGCGTTGTCTATTGTGAGGTTAGGCTAAACGGTGAGCTCTTAGCCTAGAGGAACGCAG